CTCAATTGATCTTTAGCCATGCCTTTGGACTTTCGAATCAACACACTAGGATCATATGGTGTTTGAGATGGTGTGCAGTCCGAATATCCAAAACGACTCAACACCTTCTCAACATAATGGGATTGCAGAAGTGTGATCCCACCCTCATTATCTCTCAGTAGCTTGATGTTCAAGATAACATCAGCCACACCAAGGTCCTTCATCTCAAAGTTCTGAGACAGAAACGATTTGACCTCCTCAATGACTTTGAGGTTTGTTCCGAATATCAGTATGTCATCAACATACAAGCACAGTATAACTCCTTCGCCCCCACCATGGCGATAGTATACACATTTGTCAGCCTCATTAACAACGAAACCAACAGATGTCAGAGTTGTATTGAACTTATCATGCCATTGCTTAGGTGCTTGCTTCAGGCCATATAAAGATTTCAGCAACTTACACACCTTCCTTTCCTGACCATCTATCACAAAGCCATCTGGCTGTTGCATGTAGATTTCCTCATTTAGCTCTCCATTCAGAAAAGCCATCTTAACATCCATTTGATGGACGAGAAGACCATGTGAGGCCGCCAACGAGAGTAATACTCGAATGGTGGTCAGTCTAGCCACAGCTGAATAAGTATCGAAGAAATATTCCTCTTCTTTCTGGTCATAGCCCTTGGCCACAAGCCTGGCCTTGTACTTTTCAATCATACCATCGGGCCTAAGCTTTTTCTTGAACACCCACTTACATCCCAATGGTTTGCAACCATAGGGACGCTCAGTGATCTCCCATGTCCCGTTAGCCATGATGGAATCCATCTCGCTACGGACCGCATCCTTCCAGTAATCAGCTTCTGGAGAGGCATACGCTTCTAAGATAGAAGTGGGAGTATCATCCACGAGGTACACGAAGAAATCATCACCAAAGGTCTTTGCAGTCCTTTGTCTCTTGCCCCTACCAAGGGTTTCCTTGTCATCCTCCTCAGGGTTTTCATCATGTGTTCGTTCATAATATTCCATAGGAATGGCAGGCTCAGGAGTTTCCTCAGATTCCTGTCTAGAAGTGCTTTGCATATCTCTCAGAGGAAAAATGTCCTCAAAGAATGTAGCATCCTTAGACTCTATGATTGTACCGACCTTCTGGTCAGGTAACTCAAATTTCACTACTAGAAATCTATAGCCAATGCTGTTCTTAGCGTAGCCCAAATTAACGCAATCCACAGTCTTGGGTCCAAGCTTACGCTTTTTGGGGATCGGCACGTTGACTTTCGCCAAACAGCCCCAAGTACGCAAGTATGAGAGTGTTATCCTTCTCTTTGCCCATCTCTCATAGGGAGTGATCTCATTATCCTTTATCGGAACTTTATTCAGGACATGACATGCCATCAGTATAGCCTCCCCCCACCATGCCTTGGATAAACTCGACGTATCTAACATGGCGTTAACCAGATCAGTTAGAGTACGGTTTTTCCGCTCGGCAAACCCGTTTGACTGGGGTGAATAGGGAGGCGTCCTCTCATGAATAATGCCGTGTTCTGCACAGAAGGAATCAAACTCACTCGAGAAGAACTCTCCACCACGATCTGAACGGAATCGTTTAATTTTCTTTTTAAGTTGATTCTCAACTTCGGCCTTATAGATTTTAAAGTAGTGTAGAGCCTCATCTTTAGTATTTAACAGATACACATAGCAATATCTAGTGGAATCATCTATCAATGTCATGAAGTATTTCTTTCCACCTTTAGTCAATACACCGTTCATCTCACAAAGATCAGAATGTATGAGTTCTAATGGTGCCAAGTGTCTTTCCTCCGCAGCCTTGTGAGGCTGGCGAGGTTGCTTAGCTTGCACACATGACAGGCACTTAGAACCTTTGGCTAAAGTGAAACTCGGGATTAAATCCAACTTAGCTAGCCGCGTCATAACACCGAAACTTATGTGACAAAGACGTGAATGCCAAACCTCAGATTCATTAACACTCGAATGAATATGGTTCACGACTTTATTACAGAAATCTGCGAGGGAAAGGCGGAACATCCCTCCACTCTCATAACCTTTTCCGACAAATAGTCCATACTTAGTAACAACTAATTTATTAGACTCGAATACCAACTTAAACCCTTCTCTACATAGAAGGGAGCCACTGACGAGGTTCTTCTTGATGGCGGGGACATGCTGCACGTTCTTCAGCTGCACGATCCTTCCTGAAGTAAACTTCAGATCGACCGTGCCAACACCATGAACAGAAGCACTCGCGCCATTCCCCATCAATACGTATCCGTGGCCTGTGACCTGGTAAGAAGAGAACAATGAAATGTCAGCACACACATGAACACCTGCACTTGTATCCACCCACCAATCGGTAGGCTGAAACACTGAAAAAACAGTAAATAAATTACTGTACCCAGATGCACCATTCTCATTGTTGCCCACAATCATGTTGACAGACTTGGAGTCCTGTCCTGACTTCTTAAACTTGTTTGGGCACTTGTTGGCCCAATGTTCAGCCGAACCACAAGTAAAGCAGTCCTCATCCTTCTTGTTCTTCTTGAAGGTCTTCTTATCCTTCTTCTTGAAGTCGTTATTCTGTTGGACACCGTTCTTTCCCTTGAACCTGTGGGAGTTGAAGTTCCTCTGGTTCACCATGTTGGCAACAGAAGTTCCTTCGGCCCCTTTTTCGTGCGAGTCCTTTGCCCTCGAATTCTGCTCAACACTCAGATGGCCAATGACATCCTCCACAGAGAATTCACGCCTTTGATGTTTCAGAGTGGTGGCAAAGTTCCTCCAGGAATTGAGGAGCTTAGCGATTATGCAGCCCGCGACAAACTTGCCCGGTAACTCGCACTTCAAAAGTTCAAGCTCCTTAACAATGCATATTATCTCATGAGCCTGCTCCAGTACAGGACGGTTCTCAACCATTTTGTAATCGTGGAACTGCTCTATAATATACATCTCGCTCCCTGCATCGGCGGCCCCGAACTTAGATCCGAGCGCCTCCCACAAGTCCTTGGCGACATGCACATGTAAATATGCGTCGACCAGTTTATCTCCGATCACGCTAAGAACTGCTCCGAGAAACACAGTGCTTGCCTCCCTGAACGTCTTCTCCTGTTCAGGAGCAATCGTTCCCGTGGACACACCGGTGACCCAGAACACGTTCATAGCCGTGAGTCATAAAGTGGTCTTTGTCTGCCAACACTTAAAATACGTACCGGTAAACTTATCCGGTTTCAGTGCTGCGGCAAAGCCACTTGCCGAAAAATTCCTACACATAATAGGTTTTTGGATTGCTAAGAAAATAGGCAATTTTTCGACTAATTTAATCCATAAGTAGATAACTAACATGACATTGACAGAACTAACAACATACTGGTGCTGATCTAAACGAGCACGTACTACGCAAATAGTAGACAAATCTACACATAATGCTAGCACTGCTAATACAGAAATTATCAGGAGAGGTTAGGCCATGCAGAAGCCGCCGCCGCGGTGGCAGCAGCAAAAGCGTCCTGGGCGGCCTTCTTGTCGGCCTCGGTCTTCTCGGCGGCAGCAGCAAAGGAATGGCGGGCGCGCGCGGCGCGGCGGGGCGAGGCGGGCGGAGGAGGAGGAGGAGGAGCGCGCGTGGGCCTCTTCTCTTCTCAAGCTGCAATAACATGTAGAAGAGCCACCCTTATAAACCACTCCAACTTTCCTTCCACTAGCATGGTGGGACTAAACTTCCCACCACCTTGTCATGCCACCTACATGGGTCCTTAGAGATCAAATCTGAAATTGTCATATGGGCTCTAGGCTCATCTCACATTTCAACACAGAGTGGGATCCGAATTTCTCGTCTCAATTATTGGAAGCGAATGAAGTCGTTGTGCGTGATGTATATATTAGTACGTGCAGTGCACCCCTTGAACTCGTCTCTGCTAGGCCGGTTCTGACGAGCGTCATAAACAATTTTCATTTTAATTCGTCTGATGCAAAAGAAGTCTCACTGCGCCTGCTTGCCCTGGCACAGGACGCATGGGTTCGTGCTGGACCACTGCCAATTATGCATACCACGTCTAAAAAAAACAAAACGGTGTGGTGCTAAAGTTGGAGGTAGCTGGAGCTTAACTGAAATATTTTTTGTTGCAGGGTAGACTGGCACCGGATCTATTTAGCGGAGACTGGTACCGGATCTAGCATTGATCTTACAGATAAGTTAGTAGTGTAGGCCAATGAAAGGAGACACACTATGTTCGTTATCTTTTCGAATGGGGGCACAAATGAAAGCTCTCACAGTCACAGCAAACGACCATGGAAAGGATCTTTCGCAGCAACAACAAAATAACGACCATGAAAAGGATCGGGATCGAAAGCGCACGTCTCTCTCACCGAAAGCTCGAGCACCGTGAACTGTGGGCGCTCATGGGGGTGATCGATCAGGATCAGTGGGCGTAGGAATTCAGAGCCCTCACTCTTCTCAGCTAGTAGCAGCCCCAGTTGCTTGCCAGGGTTTATATCCTATGGAAAAGCAGCGGGCTCACCTGGAATGGAACCCGAACGAAAAAGCCATCGTCAGTCAGCACAGCACTCATCACACCATATATATAGCTTCGTTCGTAACAAGTACGCGCACGCGCGGTACGAGACGAGCTAGCGATGGAAGTAGCGGAACGGCCCGGCTTTAATTTCTAGCGCAACCAGATTGAACGGTTTCGGCTCGCCGCGCGGCGGCTCAGCTCAGCTCGGGCCACCGATGGATGGATCCGTCCCCTCTTTTGTCCGCCCCATGCATGCCGTCACGGCGACGTGCGGCCTAACGAACCGCGGCTCCTCGCGCGCCTTGACAAAGCGAAAGCTCGATCGATTAAGAAAATCGATCGCACTTGGCATGCAACAGTGGACTTCTCTAGCTATAAATACGCGCCAGATCCTCTCTTCCCCTCACCCATTCGGACCCATCCGAAAGCACCTGCCCATCAGCTTTCCTTCTGCTAGCTTTGTCTCGGTTATCTTCTGCTCTTCTGCTCTGCTCTTGGACTAATGGCCCATGGGAAGAGGTCTAGGCAGCAGGCCGAGTCGACCTCGGTCAGCCTGCTGGACCTGGACAGCGGCGACATGGCGCGCATCCTGCTGCTCTTCTCCGGCCACCACCAGCACCACGCCCACTACGGGCCTTCGTCGCCGGAGAGGGTGTTCGAGTGCAAGACCTGCAACCGGCGCTTCCCGTCCTTCCAGGCGCTCGGCGGGCACCGCGCCAGCCACAAGAAGCCGCGCCTGGCGGACGGCGCCGGCGCCGAGCCGCCCAAGCCCAAGGTGCACGGCTGCTCCATCTGCGGGCTCGAGTTCGCCGTCGGCCAGGCGCTCGGCGGCCACATGCGCCGCCACCGCGCCGTCGCGGCGGCAGGGGCCGGTGTCGGGCTTGGCCTCAGCCTCGGCCTCGGCATCGGGCCGAACGAGGGCGGCAACAAGAAGGCCGCGACGGCCGAGCTGGCGCTCGACCTGAACGAGCCGGCACTGGAGGAGGAGCCAGCCGATCGCGCCATGCTTGGGCTCGCCATGGAATTCCCCGTGGTGGTTGACTTTCGACGTTAGGTTGAACTGAAGAAATTTGCGTCTGAACCATACAAATTTTTGTAGATCAATACGTATTTGGAATTTTGGATTGCGCTGCTAGAGAAGTCAACGACCCTTGGAACATTAGAAATGCTGGCTCGCGTATATACTTTTCTAATGTCTCAGGGGCAGGGGCTCTATATTTATAAGGTTTGACTTCTGGCGGTATTTGTAGTACTAGACGGGTTTTTCTCTTCTGCTCTCCCCCTTTTCCACGGGGGAGTTCAGTTTTTTTTATGCTCCTTGGCCTTTTTTTTTATCTACTGCGTATGAATATTGCTGTAAACCTCTTGAATTACGAGAATATTATACAAGGATTTATTCCCAAGTCGTGCGGGCTATTTGTGGGTTCTTTGAAATCAAGATTTATTTAACGGGATTGTTAAAACTCAGCTAGCTGATATTTATTTTGGTCTCATTCACTTTGTCAACCGTTAGATTAAAAGCGCAGTTATTCGTGCGAGATGAGCGACCCGGTTGTTCGTGTCGTCGTACGAGCAGTGCAGGCCGGTGGCCCATGTAGGGAGCGCTGGAGCAGCCTTTTTAGGTGGCTTTTTTATTCTTTTTATATTCAGAAGCTAAGTTTGTTTCTCTGTCCGATGCCACCAAGCATCATTGTCGCATTTGTATTCCTCTGTTTCTTGTCTTCAGCAGCGTTGTTGCTTTTTCCTAAGAGATACTTTTCCATTGTTTGAACGTATACAATTTTTAGTACTTTATTTTATGTAAAATAATTGTTGTAGATTTTTCAAAAAAAGTAGATTTTTTAGTATAATTATTAATAGTTGTTTTACCAGTTGCAGTTGCATGTCTACTACTCCCTCCGTTCGGAATTACTTGTCTCGGAAATGAATGTATCTAGAACTAAAATACGTCTAGATACATCCATTTATGCGACAAGTAATTCCAAGCGGAGGGAGTACTAGACATGCAACTGTATGTGTTGTAGTCCGATTGAAACTGGGGTCGGAAGGAGGTTTGTTGGACTAGTTGCATGTCCATCACTAGAGTTGCAATTGCAAACATTGTAGTCTGACTGCAACTACAGATGTGTTCAGGTTGTTTTTTCTCAATACAATGTTTTTTCCTTTTTATGATTTCTATTTCTTATTTTGTATAGAAAGTGGGAAAGAGTAGTGAGATGAAAGGGCCCAACTTTTTAATCATTTCATTTTCTTTCTTTGTTTTTAAAACTTTTACTCATATATTCTGTCGTTCGCGTGTAACTGCACACACAACCAAACTATGCACAATCTGCAAGAAATATAATACACACACAACCTTTGTACTGTCCAACTAGTTTCAGTTATAGTTTCGTTGTTTGTACTTTTATTTCCTTTCTATTTGGAAATATAGATTTTTTAGTTTTTTTTCAATTTTTTTTATTGTTTTAAAGGTTGTGTGTGTATGCCGGCGAAGTCTTTCTTTTCAATTTTTTTGTTTATTTTGTTATAGTTGCAACCGCCCCAACCCGGGCGCAAGCGCAACTCAGAGCACCGTAGCGCAACAGCAAGACCTACCGCAACCGGGGGTCGAAGGGAGGGTGTCAGCGCTGGCGAAGTCTTTTTCAATTTTTTTTGTTGTATTTGAAACCGACCCAGCCCGAGTGCAACTACAACTCAAGAGTACGGTCATGGGTTGTTTTTAGGGGGGGTGGGGGTTGATTGTAGTTGCATCCGTACCCCCCTAGTTGTGTGCCCGTACTCGTATTGGGTCCTATTCGTGGCCCCCAGTTGCATGTTGACCAACAACTCGCAACTACGGCAATGTGTGTTGTGTGTTTGTGTGTGTGTCGAGGGTCCCCAATTGCATGTCGATAACCGACCTGCAACTAGGAGTGTTGTGTGTGTTTGTCTATTTGTCAAGGGGTCCCTAGTTGCATGCCAAGCATCGACTCGCAACTAGGGTGCCAAGTTGCATGTCGATAATCGACTCGCAACTGGGGTGTGTGTGTTATTTTTATCAAAGTGTCCCCAGTTGAATGTCAAGCATCGACTTGCAACTAGGGGTGTATGTGTGTGTATTTGTTGAGAACCCCTAGTTTCAAGTTGACCATTGACTCGTAACTAGGGGGGTACGCGCGTGTGTG